AGCCTCTTCACTAAGGGGGGGTTAATTTCTGTTCACAGTACAACTTCTATATTTTGATGACAATTGTTTTTTGATGCTCCAAAATATGATATATTTGCTACACCAATTTCAAATTTAAACTTATTCTTTAAAAGGTTTGATCTATCACAAATTTTTACAAATTTTGGCCAATGCAAAGGATTTAATCTCCCATTTTTACATGATTGCTTTTAAATTTTCATATTCTAGATTTAATTCATTAAAGAATGAACTATTAAAGAAGAGAATTCTTTGTCCAAATTGATTTAAGTAGAATATATTTAAATATGATTTAAAATACGGCCTATTGGAACAAAAACTAAAACATAGGTAAAAGATATATTTGACGGTTGCTTGAAAAATCGCTATTTTTTAAAATCATGATCTAAACTATAGCAACATTTGTAAATTCTCTACCTTATTTTCACACCCTATTAATTAGAGAGTATTTAACTTGGAATAATTAGACAAAGATGATAAAAATAAAACTACTAAGAGATATTATAATTCACAAATATAAATAGGTCTTATTAAAGTAGTGGCTACAACATCCAGATACAAACTATAAAAGTCTTTTTTAGAAGTCAAAAAAATGATATCAACTTGAGGATTCATTCAAGTACAAATATCCAATTCTTCAATAAAAACAAGCAATTCTTAAACAAAAATTGAATGCTACTAGGTGAAAGTAAAGATCTAAAGAACAAAGAGCAATAGTAACATGTAAGAAAATATCTCATAATAGCACTAATCTCAGTGAAGCTTTAAAAAAATACACACAAATAGATAGACATTAATGTAAGTGGATTTAAAAAAAGATAAATGAAATCTTAAAAAAAGCAATGTTATAAGGTATAGTAGGAAGGACAAATTTGATGTGGATTGAGAAGGTGCCACGAGTGACAGTCGTGATAGCCATTACTATGTAACAATAGCAATAAAAAAAAAAAAAAATTAAGGATGTCAATGTTTGCAAGAGTAAGAGCTGAAGAAATAAGAGTACGAGGAGGAATTAAGAGTGAGTGGATTGAAAGGAATAAGCAAAAAGAAAATATAATCCTAAGTAGAATGGACAGTGCTATCCTAAGATTGAATAGTGTTGACCAAAAATGATGCACAAGGAGAAAGTGGTGGTGAAGAAGAAGGAAGAAGAGAAAAAACCAATGACGATGACAATGAATCAAGTAGGGGCAAGGAGAGTGGAAGATATTGCAATAGTAGTATGTACAAATAGAGTCCTGCAACTTTTTCTTTCTATTACATATAGAATTGTTTCCTAGAAACCTTTCTACTTAAGTCTTTTTTCATCAATAAATCTTTAAATGCTTCAATATAGACTTCAAATGCTTTCCAACTATCTCCAAAAATACCTTACATACTTGATATTTTGTCATATTTTTCTATAGTATTTGAAAATCTTTGCATGATCAAACTGTAAAAAAGACTCCAAATCATGATAATATATTCTTTCAATAATTCTTAAAATTATTCTATGATAACTTAATAAAAAATAAATCTAATTTCTCTTTTTTATCACCTGTATAAAATTTTACATTAGATTTTTTTGATATTTTTTATTCAATAAATTAAATCTATAATTTTAAAACTAAATCATTATTCTTAAATATTCCTTAAACCTATATATATATATATATATATATATATACACACACATACATTTCAATTATCTCATTTCAATCTATAACTTTAATGTAATAATTATTAAATTTCAATCATAATTCTAAATTTTAAATATCTTATATTTAAAATAAATCTTCCTTACAACCTTTGATATACAACTAAAATAATAATTTAAGATGATACAAATAAAATAAAAAAAATTACAATCATAATATAAATTTTTTTAAGTGCACCTACCTTTTTATTAAATAAAAAAACCAGTTCAAGATCCACAAAGAATCCAACCAAATAATATCTTCTATATGACTAATTTACTAAATAAAATATTTTATTACAAATTCTAATAAGAATAACTTTCAACCATCTTACATTATTTCTAACTTTTATGTTCTATAAATTATATCAAAAATGAGACTCATTCATCTATTTCACTCAATTTTACCTACATTCTTACATATCTTTATTATTTCAAATTTCAACTTACAAATTATTTTTATTATATTTATTAATTAAAATATATTTACTATACCAAATATTATATATTACATTCATTCATCACCAAATTCTAATTTCTAATTTTCTATAAAATAATAATAAAATAAAATATAAAAAATAAAAATAATAAAAATATCACTCACTATATCAATTCAAAATTCTTTCTATATCTATATCTATCTTCATTCTTCCATATAGTTCAATTATCAAGTATAACCATATTCTCCTATCAAAAAAGACAAATGATTCTAAAACAAAGAAATGAAATTCATAATTCATTAAACATTCCAAAACCAATAATATATATCTTACAAATAATTTATTAACCTACATTTGAAGATATTCTTATCAAAATATCCATATTTTTTATTATAATATAATTCATTAAATCACTTTTTTCCATTAATGTATACAAATGGAGTTGTTTTTACTTCATTCACCTTTTCAACAACTATGAACTACTTGCTATAACTACTATCTGATTAGAGACTTATTCTACTTAGGCAGGGCACTACCTCAAGATTTATCACTTCTATTCTCTAAACTATCATATAAGAGAAAAGTTCCTATGTTGCTACTAACTCCATCACCATGTAGTTGAAAACCTCATTTATATTCTTCATTATAATGAAGCTTTCAAATTGACAAAAGCAATCACATCTATTTTCAAAATACTCTATTGTTCAAGTTGGCACTTACTTCATCCTATAGTTTTAATTTTCAATATTTATCCTAGTTGAATTATCTAAGACTTAAATTCTGAAAATAGAAACATCAAATATGTATCTATCCAATATTTTCAATCTTCAATAGAAGTAAGAAGATAAATATCACGTATATAGTCATCAATATTCCTATACAAATTTTTGATATTGCCTTACTTTTAACCACTATCAATGTCTCATGCAAGATGTTTAGTTTCTTTATCTTCCATTATATATTATGATCTTCTAGTTTATGATTCCTCAATGATCGATAAGCTATAGGAAGTACTTGTAAGTAATGGTAGAATTTTATGTTACTATTTTCTTTTCTATGTACTTATTTTCTTGTTAATTATACCTAACTTGCATAAATGGTCTTAATTTATGGGATCAAATTGTGTATGTTTGAAATCTTTCAAGCTTTGACAACTAGATCAACCATACTACTATCATTTAGAACTCAAATGAAATAGTAAACTTCATAAATTGGATATGAAATACTTCACAAATTTTTAATTTAAACTTGTGATAATTGGCTATAAAGCAAAAGATCAAAAACTTTACAATCTACTTAATACTATAAAACTACTTGTGAAAAATTGATTGATGGTATATAATTGTTCTTGTCATCAAAATTGACAAAAATTAGTTAACAAATAAAACTCAAAAGATGCAAGGTCAAATATAGCAATATAAACCACAATGGATTATAAAATAACATATAAAAAAAGAAAAAAAAAGAGAAGAAATAACATGCATTTTCACCTTTATATTCCAAGTAGACTAAAAAAATTCAAAAACTTTGTTTGAAGTTTAGTATCACAATATCCATTTTGTGAAATCTAGCTTTCACTTTAATATATGTGTATATAAAACTTTGAATGATGCAACATAGAAAGAAAGAAAACACATCTTTACTACATAGATGTCTCAACCAAGCCTTACAAGCATAAAAATTGAGCACTTTATTGTGACTTTGTTAATCCACTTCATCCAACAAAGAATCTTCTTGCAAATGTCTCAACCAAGCCTTACAAGCATCAAAATTGAGCACTTTATTGTAACTTTGTTAATCCACTTCATCCAATAAAGAATCTTCCTGCAGATGTTCTACAACTCTCATGCTTTTGCCCTAGAGATATCTACATCTACACATATATATAGATGTAGAACTAGGTACAGTTAGGGAGAAAATGGGTGTGCAGAAAAAGAAATAGTGACACAAAATTTGACCATTATTTATAAGTACTTCCTATAGCTTATTGATCACTAAGGAATTTGGAACCAAAAGAACATATTATATTGAGGGAGATAAAGAAACTGGACGCTCTACAAGAAGAATTGATAGTTTTTGAAAGTGAAGATAGCACCATGAATTTGGGTAGAGATGTTGATGACAATGTGCATGATATTCACCTCGCTTTTTCAATTCTAAGTAGCATCTATTGTCCACAATCTTATGCACAAATATTTCAAGCACTACCAAATTGGTTTCTTGTTCTGTTCATAGTAAGGTTCCAGATCAAGCTGTAAAATTTTGATCTCATTGTGAAACTAATTGAACCAGACAAGGTTGTTTGATAAAATAATGAGTTCTACCAGTTTGAATAAGCAGTTGATAAATGCAATTATGGAAAATATTATCTGTGAAAAGACGTGTATGCAAATAGATAAATAGACAAATAGACAGCATCTGAAAGCAAGAGTATTCACTGTAAACTGCAAAAAGAAGTGAAGAATTTGACTGTTATCACTAAAGCTGAGGCACCCCAAGACGAACATTGTATTTATATACCTTTAATATTATTTCATACGCAGTAGAACATATGTCATAAAGAATTCCAGACTTAGGTATATATCCTTCAATCTTACCAAATCCAATATAAATATATGTCTACGCATGTGAGGTATTCAAATGATATTTATGGATTGACACTCCTGAAGCATCCAGATTCATACAAGCTACGTTCATAGTAAACGTTAGTTCATCCACAAAAGAAGAAAAAAATTGATTCACAAATATCCACAAAGTTCCAAATTTTGAGCGGGTTTCAAGTTATCAGTTGTATGGCACAATAGCACAATGAGGGGTGTCACCAATCCACCATTTTGACGCTCTGCTGAGCGACCCTAAGCAGCGCATTGATCTCAATATTGACATGAGAAAGAGCTTATTCATGACAAGTACAACCGATTGGAAAAAGGTTACTGTCCACCTTGATCCGCTTTGAATGGTACCAAGGAGCTGGGAAGATAGCATTTGCTACCATTGCTAGTCTGTGTTAAATAAAACGGCTGCTGGTAAAGAGGAGCTAAATTTGGAGCTCTGCAAAGATCACAGCCATGCATGGAAACAAGGGCAACAGTAGTCACTCGATATAAAATTATCTACACTATTTGTACAAAGTAGGTTTCAAAAAGATCGCAGACGTTCAGTAGTTCAACTCAACTGTGTTCTGATTTCATGACTGCAGTCGTGTTTGCACAAAGATATGATGATTACCAATGATGCAGCCCTTAATCTCCTGAGAGGCTTTGAAATGTTGTTCAAGGAAAAATCCAAGGGCGGCAAGACGCTGGCATACTTGTTCTCGATATAGAGAATCAAAAGAAAGACTTTGGGTGCTATAATCAATGACTTCGCGCACCATAGCTGCACCAGCTTCTTCACTTCCCTCATTTACTGATATCTTCTCGCTGAAGTTTGCAAAAGCCAAAGTCCTCACCGTCCCATCAAATTTGTTGACATCAATACGGTATGGAGTGCCTCGTGTCTCAGAGGCCGAAGTCACACCCAATCCAATAGCTAATTCAGCTTGCAGTACTGTCAAATCATTATCAACTAGACTCGTTGTGTGAAGGACGAAGCTTACCCCTGGAGACAAGAGCTCCTGAACAATGACAGCCATGGAGGCTGCCTTTTGAGGCACTCCAGCCATTCGCCGACTCAAGACTGCCCTTCTAGTGTACAAGGAAGACCAAACTTGAGCCAAGGCTTTACCAAAAGTTTCAGGCTGTGAAAGTCGAACATTTGGTATTGACTCCTACAAACCCGATCCCGACATTCCTGCTAGATCTCCAACATTTGTACTTGATCGCACGATAAGCCTGGCAGATTTGAGAAACCCTCCTGAGGCGAGTCCTTCCAGAACTGCCTCCGAAATCTTCTGCTTAGCAACCAGAGATCGCAAATCATTGCACACATTGTCCAACTCTGCACCTTCTAGAGGAGTAGCCTCAAGCTTTTCAACGAGTTCATGGAACTTTTCCAAGGAGGCACTGCTTTCGAGAGCGTCCTCCATTGCTCCAAATGGAATAACCTTACCTCTGGGTACACAAACCGTTGCAGGCACACCCCGATCGTCGCGTACTGTTTTTGTCTGATCACTCAACACAGCTAGCACATGGCACCCAACTGCTTTCGAGCCAGAATTTTCAGCTGTAGCTTCTAAGTTGTCAAGTACCGCCCCAACTGGGCTTCGGACATTGATGACAAGTGAAGGAGGTGGTGTTGTATGACTGCCCCCATCAAATTCAAGCCTGCGGCCTTGATCTCTTCCCCGCCAAAGGCCTTCTTAACCAGCAGGATGACAGGACCACTGTCGGAAGATGGCAAAGAACCTGGAACAATTTTATCTACTTCAATGAGCCGACCTACAGCTCTTCCTGTCATAATGACATCAAAACCATCCTCTCCAACAGTTATTCGAATAGCCTTGAGAAGTCGTAAAAATAACTTTTCAACTTGAAACATCACACTTGCTCGTACCTCAGCTTCTGCATAATTTCTTACGGTGTTTCCTGAAATGCGAAAAGCCTTGCCCAGTCTGCCCACATAGCCGGGGTAGACTTGTAACACTGTGCCAGTGTAGGTCTCAGCGAATCGACGTGCACGCCCTATGGGTGCCTTCAATCTAAGTGCCCATGTCTTCGTGTCTTTGGTCTCAAATGTGGAGATAACCGTTGGCGATGACCACGCAAGTAGCTCGCTTTTAATCGCAAGACATTCTGCGTTGTGCATACCTGACAAACCCAGCTGCTGAACACCCAAGGCGAGGCCTGTCAATGAGGGTGTCCATTGCTCTACTTTTCCATTCCCAACTTCTTCTACAAGCCATTCAGCTCCTCCTGCACTTTCCTACATATTCACCAACCTGCTGAGCAAAGCAAACGAGTAATTTTCTAACTCAATCTCTGACAGGCACTATTTCTGTCGCAAGGTTACGGATTCGTTAGAATCTTCATTTCGAATACCGCTGTCAAGCGCCTTGACAATTGTCGCAAGTAAGTTGGTCAATGCATGCATCGTATCTAAAAACGTCTTTATGATATTTGCACCACTTGCCTTCTCCAAACTGTCCTTTTTCCAAAGAAAATGATCAATAATTGCCTGGGTGTCCTCGTCAATAAATGGGCGCAATCCTTCCAGCTGTTCCGTCAAGCTTTCAGCGTTGAAGAAATCTTTGAGCTCCGCGTAAAAGGTTTTGAGCTCCTTCACAAATTCTTCACTGTAATCTCCTGGCGTTTCGGTCACCGTCGCGAGTAATGCCTCTGCAGCCACTAAATCAATCGGTTCTGCACTTCTATGCAACTCATTCTGTAATTTATGCTTGATTTCCTTTATCAGGACTTGCGGGATATAGTTACGATGCACAATGTCCCATATTCTAGTCAGAAGAACAGAGGGTGTATATTCTGCCTTGAAACCAGGCAGCAAGAATGAATTTTTTGGACTAAAAGGAGCTCTCTCAAGCTTGAACTACTATCAACAGTAACCTGTTCAAACTCTACAAAGATCCTTCTCGGAATTTCAGCGTGCTGGTTAGGCCTGTAATGTTGACCGACCTCGTCGGAATTAATTTCCCTGGTGCTGATCCATTTCAGGTACACCGCAACATGAGTAAGCGACTTTAGCCATTCTTTCTTTCCAGGCTCACCAGTTACAAGAGCACGTACCACCTCCAACTTCTCCCACCAATTCTTCGCGTTTTTATCACCTTCTACTGTTTGTAGGGCCACGCCATCCAAACCAGTAGTATCCCACATCCCTGTCCCTTCCTTTCTATCGTTTCCAGCGCTTCCCTGCCATCGATGTACAAAAAAAGTGGAAACCTCCAAGAAAACCTCCTCCAGCTGACTACTCGTGACTTCAGGAGCTTGGGCTTGCTCCTGTTTACTTTCTTCACGCACACCTACCAGTTCATTAACTACTGGCTCTCCCTGCAACTGAAGCTCCTCATGTGTGCAATCCCAGTGCGTGATAACCTCAAATTCACCCTCATTTGGCACGTTTAGGACGCAGTTCGGACCTCCTTCCCAAACTGCATCACCACTATGGGTCACGATGACGTGCTTATACACAATCGTCTCCTGAGGATTGGCTTCTAACTCTACCACCCACCCGGACTCTGTCCATTGCATAGGTGCCCTCTCCTGCCATGCCCAGTACACGGCGAAGAACCCAAAATTGCGTGCGTCTCACCAAAAGGCACCTGATGATCAATCAACAATCGCACTTTCACCCTTTTCTCACTCCTCACCGTCAAAATCGCCCTGCGTTGAACAGCTATCGCCCTCCGACCATCAATTGCCACACATTGCGCATACCCCACCTTCCTCAACCCCTCGAAACCACTGCCCACAAGTCCCAACCCACGATGCACTAAGTTTTGAGCGGAAGCCATGACTCCTCACACCCAACACTCAACGACGACAGTTCAGTACACCACAGCACTCTCCCCTTCTCGAAGACTTCATCACCGCTCAGCTTGCTCACTCATTTACACTACACACAATCTCCGGCTTCAATCTCTGTTCCATTCCAGAGTCTTTCAGAAACCCGATCAAAATGGTCGTAATTGGTTGGGAGCGACCATCTAAAGTCGACACTGATTGTCATCTTCTACAATTGAGCCTCGAAAGTGTCATAGATGCCAGTTTCCCTATCCACAGCAGCCGGGAAGGCCACACATCTCGCGGATAAACTAATGACACCGCTCCGGGTGGCAATGTTAGAAGACTTCGACTACCATACATATTCTGCACACGATTGCGATGCCACATCCGCACAGTGTTCGCATCTACGTGATGCAAGACCAGGCGATTGTCAATCATCCAGACCTTTTGTTTTTCAAGCAAATTTTCTTCTCAAGTAAAGTAGCTTCTGAATTGACCTTAAACGCCATTAACTACATATCGAACCGCCCACTGTTTGTAATTGGAGCGGGACCTCAGCTGTTTTGCGAAAGTTACAATGTCTCCTCTACGATGCAGACACAGGAATGAGAATAGTTACTGGTAATTCTTCAGAAACGTTACACCGCTTTTAACCGAGTTAGGGCTTGTCAAAATGGGGTTTCAACAAACCATTTGTCCATATTCTTTAGCCCTGAGTTTCTGAATTTCAAGCGAAGAAAACTTCCAACAAGCTTTAATTGTGATTACATCCTGAACTTCTGCGAGACGAGGAGGAATAGAATTACGAAAAAATCATTGAGCTAATTAGGTACAGAATCAAGTCTGCTGAAATAACGAATCTAGTCGGTCAAGTTCTCCTAGGTGCAAACCGGCAAAGCAAATGAGATTGGTATGTGACAACGGGAAACCCTGCACAGACAGAAGCTTTGCCAAATACTAGACTGGTCAAAATGAAATCTGTAGCCAATCCATATTCTTGCTCAAGGTGACCGTTCCTGAATGCCGGAAACAATATAGTTGCAGTGGATGAAGCGAAGTTGTTATCATCACTTTAGAAAATGATGACTTTGCAATGACTACATTTTGAATATGTATACTAGGTGATGCCACTGTAAACAAAGTAATGACATAAAAAGATAGCAAACTAACATGTCACGTCTTGACCTGAAAATCATCGCGACTCTGATCAACTACTATATGGAAGGACAGTCTCCACACAATCTAGTTATTAATGTCAATATTACCAGTATACAAAAATTGGCACTCGGATACGAATACGCCACATCTACGCAGGGCCAAATCAAAATGCAGGCAGTGTCTAATTCTCTGCGTTGAGCCAGTTCAACCCTTCCAACATGAGGTCTCTAATTATTTGCTAACCACCTCCCTGCCCCATACCGAATAAAATTAAACATATTGTAACATCTAAAAAATACCTTAAAAACGTCGCGGGTTTTACAAAATTAATAAAACTTCTCCTCTTGATGCGTTTCAATGACACAATCTGATGTCGGATACGAGGCGCACATGAGAGCGAATCCAGCTTGCAATTGTGCCTCGTCAAGAAAGGACTGCTCATCCTGATTCAGAGATCCCGATTTCAAGAGTCCGACACAGGTGGAGCAAGCTCCCGAACGACAACTGTGGGGTAACAAGACGCCTTCTCTTTCAGCTGCATCCAAAATGCACTCATCTTTGGAGACATGCACCACCCGCTCCGCTTCGGGAGTGATCAACGTCACCTGCAAAATACAGCATCAAGTAGTCAGGTCAATGGTCACCTAATTCTTGGACAACAAAAGGTTAATGGGGCGTTATCAACCATCCGCCATGGTCACAGGCCAGTTACATAAGTCAGTGTGCATTCAATCTATTACTTGTGTTTCCATAACGGCGCCCGTGACAACAAGATGAGATGCCATGGCCACAGTCGCAAATAAAGCCCCAAGAAGCTTTCATCGGCACATGAACAGACAAAGCAAAATACTGAACCATAACTAGTGACCTGCTCCTATCAGAAGAGTCCAGATAAACAGAGGCACGGCTACATTGTAATTGGAGCGAAGCAGACAGAGCACGGGATAAGTACAATCAACTTACCTGATACGCAGCTGCGATGACTCTTCCGCTCACATGAAGAGCATTGATTCGGAAACTCCTTCTTAAAATGAGTTGCGACGATGACATCGCATCAGGAAACGACAACACTGACGCTGAAGCAGCCGTCCTGCTTGGCATGGAAATCGGTCCCAACGCTACAGCTGCCATGTTCTAAAACGAAAAACAATAAATCAATAAATAAATAAATAAATAAAAACTCTAATCAAGAGCGAAGAAACTCTCAGCAAATGCTCAATGATACTCACAATAAATTCAGCTCAGAGAAATAAATATTCAGTCGAATGTTGCCAAAGAAAGAGAACCGGGGACGACGGTTTAGGCAGCAGTGCAGGAGTCGGGAGGAGATGATTGACAATATTGATGTCACGACAATCAAAGGCGCAGGTTCAAATACTCGGAGATGGCGAAGTGCAGGAAAGGGGAGGGCTAGCGATGCGCAGTCAGCACGTGAAAAAACGTCGACAATATCGAACAGAGCCCGAAGAAGGTTCTAGGCTCTGCCTGATTGTGCCCTCCCTATGTCGACGCACACACGCTGAATTTTCGATGGAACCCACGAGATGAGTTCTGTTCCCCCGTTGGGGTCATATTCACACTAGAGCTGTGGCCATGGGTCATAGAATGGGTTAAACCGCGGTCCTTCTCAGATTCTCTGCCCATTTCCATGCCCCCGAGCGATTACACGTAACATTGTATTTATTTGAATTTAAATGATTTTTTGCGTTCCGCACAACCATGTTTTTCGACGTTCTGAAAATGTGGAAATATTGATAATGTAGGGTTAAGATATTTTTTTTGAAAAATGTGTTCTTCTTAAATGAATATTAGTACACAGATTGAGGATATTGTCCTTGCTGGTGGAATTTTTTGTTATTCATTTGCACTTGAATTAAAAAGAAAAATCATAAATTCAAAAGAAAAATAATAAAAAATAAAAATATGTACACTGTAATTAATATTTTTTATTTTACAATATTGCATTTAAATAAATAATGTTTTCTTGTATGCATGATGAAAAATGTAGCACCTGAGCAATAGTAGAAGTTAAATAAACTTATTCTTGGTACATGCATAAATGTAGGTATCATCCAAAGAAATTGTATTTCTTTTCTTTTTACTTTTTTTATTTTATTATTGCTGTTGTTGTTGTTATAATTCCAACCTGTTGGCACTAAGTATCCAAAATCTTGAGGAATAATAATAATAATAATAATAATTTAAAAGTCAAAAAATATAAAAATATAAAAATTAAATTAAATTAAAAAACAAAAAGAGCCCTCTTATTGGTCAAACATTTTATTTTACTTTTCTAATATAAATTTCTTCACAAGAATTGCATGAAGAGTATGAGATTATTATTTGAAATTTAACAAATCTATCCTTTTATCAACTAAAACTTGAGTAGAATTGATAAAAATAAATAATTAAAAAATATATAAAATCTAATTAAATTAATTATTATAAATATAAGTTATTTTGTAATTAATAATAGATGGTAAAGAATGATAATACATATATGTATTGATAATAAGAAAAATGTAATACATATGCCTAAAATATGTTGAAATATCAAGAATATTTGTGTATTCTTGATAATAGCAAATCTATGCTTCACTTTTGTGAAAATATTAAATCTATTCTTAAGCTTCATAAGCTATTACAAATATTTTTTTTTTAAATATGATTCAGACCCAACCTACTTCTCATGAAGACATTGAAGGGTCCTCTTTTATTATTTTAATCCAAAAGTTGCTTCTCTTACTTAAGGTGGGGTTGCTTCTAGCCAATCAAATTTGGATTTGTACTCATCTAATATTTTCTTTGCCTTGTTTGTTTATTTATTTATGTAGGACTTAGGGTTTTTTAAAACATAACAACCTTCTCACATGCTAATCAATATTGCTCTTACTTTACTTCTTCTATTACATGCATGGTTAATCAATTCAACTATGGACAAAGAAAAAATATGGAATATGAATCAATTCCTATATAAGATGGTGTATAAGGAGTTAGAAATACAACTACTATATGGATTGATGACACTATTTCCAAGATAAGAGATAAAAAAATTAGAGCAAAAGATGAGGGCTCATCTTTGTCACAAGCTCAAGCTAGAGATCACCCAACACACTACAAAATAGTTGCATTGTTCTTAGGACAGATTAAAAGGAGTAACTTTGTCCTTACAAGGGCAAGTTGAAGAAATGATCAAAGGTTTAAATATTAAAAATTAAACATATGCAAGTGATTAACCTGAAAACAAATGAATTGCATATTGAATTGTTCTTTGTTGAGCTCATTCAATCTCAAAGACTCTATTGGACTTCTAATGCTTATCATTGTGAGCTATACCAGAAGGTTGTTGAATACATATGAAAACTTGTAGAGATAAATCAAGACTTAGAAACTGCACATATCACAATATTATAATTATCCATGCGTACAAAATAAATAATCAAAATGCATTAGAAGCTTAAAATGAATATGTTAATAATTACCCTAAACGCTAAGTTTTAAGACTTTTGATTGAGATTTCATTGCTAGAATCTTTGATTTTAATTCAAATTCTTTGATACATGATGACTCAAATTCCACTTTTGTGCTCTTACTTGAATATTCATAGTTTGATTGCTATGTATCCTCAAATAATAAACCTTTTATCTAACGTGAATTCATCAATCTTTTTATTTTAGTATGTTCCTTGTCAAGTAGAGTTTTAAGGATTTCCAATAACTTTGATGAACTTTGATACAAAAGATGTTGCTTTCTTATCTAGTTTTTGCAAAAATAGCTTAAGTCACAAAAAAACTTGCAGATTTGTATGGATAACCTACAATTCATAGGCTTATGGAAATTGTAATCTTTGATCCTTGGACTTGTCAATTGAAAATCTTTAAATGTGGGCTTATAAACATAGTCTAATTTGAACAATGAAATAAATCTAGAAGTGCTTAACATAAATATAGATTAGACAATGGAGTAGGTCAATGACATGAATTAATGTCAAGGACATGAATGTCAAAGAAAGAAAATCCTCAATACACTCTTCTATACTAAATCTGAAAGAAGTGTATAAATGAATCTAACTTGTGATCTTAGAGTTGGATAGCTTTGGGATTGAAGTTCAATTACAAGTTGTACTTCATTGATAAAACCTCAAAACTTATATCTTGTGCCATCAAACTTCTGAAATAAGGCAATTCTTGGTTCTCTAGTACAGGAAGGATGTTCCACTGTAGGAGAGGGGACATGATTGGATACACATGTTGAAGCAACTCCAATCATATCTATATAATTACTTCTTGCAATTCATGTTGCTCTTTGTGGTGGTAAATTGAGCTGATGCATTGCAAGCATTAACTCCCTCAATTGCTTTTGCATTTGTACCATTGCACTCTTTATTTGAAGAAGCTCTATCATGATAATACTTAGAAAATAAGTATCTAATATTGCTTAAGATAAGCAAAAGAAGAGACTTGAGAACAAAGAAGATACTAAAAATAATATTAGTTTAAAAGAAGGTAATCCGTAACTTGTAATATGCTTATGTTTTATCAAGAAAAATCGGTAATCCACTCATAATCAAGAAAAGACAAAGCTCTAATATTGTAAGTATACTCTTGTCAATTTGTCAAAGACATGAATTAGAAGAATATGCATAAACTTAAAAAAATTGTGTTAAAAAAAAAGTGACAAAATAGTAATAAAATAGTATGTATATTAAAAGAAAATTTGAATGGCTATTGCTAAAAAATAAGAAAACTAAAGACTCTTAAATCTACACTAGAAGCAAGAAAAGAATTGACAAGAGTAAAGATGACTTCACTCTTATCTCTATAGATACTAATTAACTAGGAGCTACATAACGATGTTCTACAAGACCTCTAATATGTGTTGACTTTGCATGACATATGTTCTAGCTTATAAGGCAAGTTTTCTATGTGTGGACCACATAATTAACTCGTTCTTCAAGCTACCAATATGTGTGGCACATGGCCAACTTGTTGACCATGTTTCAAATCTAAAAAATCAATTATAGATACCTATAAAGATAAAATAGCATCTATAAAGCTTCTAAAAAGCTTCTATAGAAGATATTATGGAATTAACCTAATTTTACCTATTTTTATCTAATCATATAGATAATTATTGATTTATGTATGTATATTCATGATAATCACATGATATTATATAACAACATTTTAAATCTAAAATTAGTTTTTTTAAATATTATTTATTATTCAATTGGAATATATCTTATTTACAACAATCTAATTTTTCAAATTTTTCCACTAGAAAATAAAAATTAGTTAATATATAAAATAATTCATTCAATAAGAGCCTAAATTTCAATCCATTATTGGCACAAGTCATTAAGTAGTCAAATCTTTTGTCACATGTTCAATTTTCTTGTACAAATTAGTACATTGGTTTCTACTCAACAAGTATTTTATTTTCAATAAAATCCTAAATGTTCTATTATAGACTTTAGATCTTTTTTTAAATAATTCTACAAATATCTTATATATTTTATTTTTAAAATATTTTTTTATAGTACTTAAAGATCTTGACATAATAAGGCTATATAAATTGCTCTAAATCATGAACATATGTATTGCTTTAATTTATTTAAAAAATATCCTATAATAAATTATAAAAAAAACATTCAAATTCTATCTTTTCAATACTTATAGATAAGTATATATTATATATTTTTTGGTATTTTAAGAATATTTATCAAACACTCTTTTAAAATCATTGTTCTACAAAACCATACAATTTTTGTCCTACAATTTGAATTTATAATTCAAAAACTAATCCATTAATCTTAAATAATTCTAAAAATAGTTATTAATTTATTTACATATTTTAATAATTATATTTTAATCTAAAAATTTAATATAAATATAACTATTTTTAGTTCTTAAATCTTAAATGACTTCTATCTAAAATAATATAAGTTCTACCAATAGATCTTAATTGATAGAGTTGTGAATAATATAGATTTTATTTATTTAAATATAGAAATATTATTATTAAAAAAATTAATAATTTTTTTATTATTAGAATTTAGAAATATTTATGAAATATAAGAGTCTTATTAGAAAAAAACTATAAAAATAGAGTCTTAATAAGTCTTGAAGGTTATTATCTTAGTTGGTTTAATATTTTTGCTTATTGTTGAATATAAAGGATTATTTATTAAGACCAAAGTCTACATTGGTCTTCTATTTATATATATTACTTATTAAAAACCTCTAAATATTAATTAATAGTTAAAATAAGCATAAAAAGAATTTCATGTCTTTTTAATTATTTATATTTGAAATAGGATTTTTAGTTGATCTAAATTTATTTTATTAATTTATAAAATCACAAAAATAAAAAATATAGATTTAATTTGATATTAATATTATAAAAAAATTAGAATTTATAGGAATTTTTAGAGAAAATTTCAAGATTTTGGAAAAATTGAGTTTT